AACAACTCACATTGTCTCAGCAGCAACCTCAATCGTCTGAACCACTGGTAAGTCCTGAATCTCATATTTCTGATCATGATGTTAATACTTCTGATGACTTACCCATTACTACTGATTCTGATGATTTACCCATTGCTCTTAGAAAAGGAAAAAGAGCTTGTCCCAAGAAATCTTGTCCCTCTTGTACTCAATACCCTATCTCCCAGTTTGTTTCCTCTGCTAATCTTTTTGTGCAGCACAAAAGCTTTGTTTCAGCACTAGACTCTATTGCAATCCCAAAATCAGTACATGAAGCCTTGAAAGATAGGAATTGGGCTCAAGCCATGCAAGAGGAGATGAATGCATTGGAGAAAAATAAAACATGGGAGGTTATTGATAGACCTACTAGAAAGAAAGCAGTAGGGTGCAGATGGGTTTATGCCCTAAAATATAATTCTGATGGAACTCTTGAGAGATACAAAGCTCGATTAGTTGCCAAAGGTTACTCTCAAACCTATGGCATTGATTATGAAGAAACATTTGCTCCAGTTGCAAAGATGAATACGGTGAGAGTTTTGTTATCCCTTGCTTCCCATTACAATTGGGATATAAACCAATTTGATGTGAAGAATGCTTTCCTCAATGGTGAGTTAGAAGAAGAAGTCTACATGGAAATTCCGCCTGGTTTTGATTCTGTGAAGGGAGAAAATAAAGTTTGTAAATTAAAAAAGACCTTGTATGGATTGAAGCAGTCACCTCGTGCCTGGTTTGGAAAGTTTACTAAGGTTATGATGACCTTAGGATATAAACAAAGTCAAGGAGATCACACTTTTTTTTCAAGCACTCCCAAAATGGGAAGCTTACTGTGCTCTTTGTATATGTTGATGATATTATTATCACAGGTGATGATTTTGTGGAGAGACAGATTCTGCAAACACGGCTTGTCTCTGAGTTTGAAGTCAAAGACCTTGGGAAACTGAAATATTTCCTAGGGATAGAAGTAGCTCATTCGAGCAAAGGAATCTTTATCAGCCAGAGGAAATATGTTCTTGATCTTCTCAAAGAAGCAGGAAAGCTCGGGTGTAAACCCTCTAATACTCCTATTGAGCAGAATCACAAGATGAGCTATGAAGAGCAGAGTCCTCCAGTTGATAAAGGACAATATCAACGGCTAGTTGGGAAATTGATATATTTGGCCCATACTAGACCAGACTTAGCTTATGCTGTTAGTGTTGTCAGTCAGTTTATGCACGATCCAAAGGAGAAACATATGCAGGAAGTAGAGAGAATTCTTCAGTATCTGAAAGGTACTCCTGGTAAAGGGTTGTTATTCCGACGTGATGGCAATCTATCTTTAGAAGTCTACACAGATGCTGATTATGCTGGATCCGTGACTGACCGTCGTTCTACCACTAGTTATTGCATGTTTCTTTGTGGTAACTTGGTGACATGGAGAAGTAAGAAACAAGATGTGGTCGCCAGATCAAGTGCAGAAGCTGAATTTCGAGCTATGGCTCAAGGCATTTGTGAGTTACTGTGGCTGAAAATTGTACTTGATGATCTAAAAATAAAATATGAGGGACATATGAAGCTGCTATGTGATAATAAGTCCGCTATTTGTATAGCTCATAATCCAGTTCAACATGATCGAACTAAACATATTGAGGTCGACCGCCATTTAATCAAAGAGAAACTTGATAGCGGGTTGATTACCACTCCATACATTCCCACTGGGCGTCAATTAGCTGATCTATTGACAAAGGGGCTTCCTTCAGATAGATTTCAAGAACTTGCTAGCAAGCTGGGAATGATAAATATCTATTCCTCAGCTTGAGGGGGAGTGTTGTAAATAGTAATTATGTAACCATTTATTAGTAATTATGTAGTCATTTATTGCTGTTGTAAATAGTAATTATGTAGTCATTTATTAGTAATTATGTAGTCATTTATTTGTATTTATTGAGTCCGTTAACTTGTATATTGGGCCAAGCCCATTAGGTCAAAATTAGGTCAAGAAGTCTATAAATAGAGACCCCTATGTACAGATTCAAATACGATTCAATAATATTTCAAATACCCTTTTATTTCAAGTATACTTGTATTGCATTGTCGTCTATGGAATCAGAACTTTTTGCTTTAGCCTTAGCCGACGAAGAGGTAAAGTGGATAAAGAATCTGATTATGGATATTCCTTTGACTCGGCTAAAGATTAATTCTTTAAGCCTATTTTGTGATAATCGAGCAGTTGTCCAAGTTGTTAAAAATGCTCTCTTTAATTCAAAGAGAAGACATATTAGATTGAGACATGCGTTGTTGAATTATCTGAGAAAATAAGGAGTTATCACCTTGATCGATGTGAGATCGAATGATAACTTGGCTGATGCTCTCACAAAAGATATGCCTAAAGATCGATTATTCAAAACAGTGGGGGAAATGGGGTTAAAGACTATATAGACAAGTCTTAATTACCATTTACTTACCTTTTAATTGTGTGTTTTGAATTATCAAATCTTTCTTTTGTTGGCCAAAATGATAAGCACTGTTTATATGTTTCATCGATGTTCATGGTTGTTGATTAATTTGAAAAGGATAAGTTGTCTCATTCCAAACTCGATCAAGATAACTTGAACCTGATTCAAAGGTTCTACCTGGGAAACTTTATTCCAAACTTGATGATACAATCTAACCGGGTTGGACCATCCTTTTGGTTAAATGATCTCATTCCAAACTTGATGCTAGATTATTTAACTTTGAGGAATCAGTAATTGTGACATTCCAAATTGAAACATTGAAATAGTAGTTTGCATAAGAAACCTATGGGTCTTGTTCTTAATTGAAACTTGACATCACATGACTAGGTTATTGTAAGTGACTTGACTATTGGTCATGTTCATTGAAACTAGACAATGGTTATTCTCTTACAAATAAACTTAAGTTGATGACTCTTTGCAAAACAAATTTTTTAGGCCTTGTTCATAATTTATGAAACTGGTTTGATGCTTATAAACATGATATTTCAATGCTTTCTGACATTAATATATGTTCTTCTTTGCTTGATGATATGATGCTAAGTTCTTTTAGTAGAACTAGACATCTTTGGTAGATTACTCAACCGATTGAATTCATAATAATATGAAAGTCATATTTGATATTCTACAGAGAATGACAGAGATGGAGGAGAGCTTAATGAGAGGGATCTTGACTAAGATCACCTCCTTGATGAATGAATATATCATTTAGAGTAAGTGGGGACTTGACAGTTCACCCGCTATTGCCCATTTTGATTGAGTCTATTTATATGAGACTTACATTTTACTATCTTTATTTTATAAACATTGTTGATTGTGTACTGATTTTGAGACTTATTTTGGATGTTGGGATTTAGATGAGTTTAGATTGAATCTAAAACTCTAAATATTTATTTTAGTATGTTGGTCTCAGAACAGATTCATGATAATGATGATTTATTTATTTAGATTGAAAATAACGATTGAGTTTAATATTTTACAGTTAAAACTCTTTGATTGATCCGAGTTAATTGTCTTGGACTGGATATGAATGATTCATATTTGTTTGAACATTATATTGATCACTCTATTGGATTGTGCTATATAGTGAACATATGAGGAGATTGTTGGATATATTAATAATATAATCCAATAATATGTTCACATATAAGCCCAATAGGTGAAAGCATGATTATTTGGTTCCATACGGTCTGGAGCCCAATAGTTTGCATTATATCTAGGATTTCCTAAGCTGGAGGTAACACTATTAAACATTTCAAACTTGATGTCTCTTGATGTAATACTTCAAGCATCTCTAAACCCTTCTCTCTCAAACTCATTACCTCCAACAATCACACTACACAAATATATATATATGAGGATACTTTTTATGCAGCCGCCGTAGAGAGTGTTATCTGCAGCTGACACAGAAAAGTGGGCCCCACAACTTAAAAAAAAAAAAAACCAGGATACGGCACCGTATCCTGGTGGGGCCCACTTTTCTGTGTCAGTTGCAGATAACACTCTCTACGGCGGCTGCAGAAGAAGTATCCCATATATATATATATATATATATATATATATATATAATGTAAATCGAATGAAATTAAATGAGTAACATCACAAAAGGTCTAAATGAAGAATAAGAATTTATCCATTAACCTTCTGAAAACAACTTTCAAGTCTTACATTTTTCCTATAATAATAAGTCTCACAAAAAATACTAAGATGTATTATTTCACACTTTAAGCATTTTGTATCATTTAAATATTTTTTTATTTTAAGTTCTTTCGTCGAAGTTAATTTATCATCCTTTTAAAATAAAAAACAAATCTTTAAAATCTTAGTAGAAAATTAAATATGTAAATTGATTGAGAGATAAATAAGCTGGAATGTAAAATGCATATGTTATACTATTTTATTAAAAGAATGTATACGTAATAAAATGTGTCATAACTGACATTCCGTTTTGTGCTCTAGCTTTTAACAGTTGGAAGAGGTTATATATGTGTTGTCAAGACTTATAGGAACCCTTGTCTTTAGGGTATATCTTTATTTCTAGCCTCTAGTTGGAGACTTTTTCTCCAAAGAAAAAACAAACTGTCAATTGCTCTTTCATTGAAAAAAAATTCTGGCAAAGGAATTTCCTCCCAAATCACCAACAACATTGCAAGCACACCTAGCTGTCAAATCTTTTAAGTCATAGCACCCAATTATCTATGTGTTTCTTAATGTTCTGCATGGTTGTTACTTGTTAGTGTTGAATTTCCCTTCCTCAAATTTGGCAATGCTTCCTCATTATTGGGTATCTCCTATTCCATTCAATTCTCATTGAAGTTTTCAAGGTGAGGTATAGTCTTTACATTCATCTTTTGAAGTATGATAAACCCAGAAGAAAAAATCAAAACTTACTAACAAAAAAGACATTAGAAATTGAAGAGTATTTTTTATTCCAAAAGGGGTTTCAATCCATTTATTAGACTCTGTTGGAGAACCCCTTAGGAAGCATGCATAATGGCTCTTCATCTTTCCTTTAGATCACCATCAGTGTCAAACTCATATCAAGGATCACCTTTAGTTGAGAGAATATCAGAGGAGCCTTTGCCTTTGCCAAACAAAACTGCTCAAAGCACTGTCACATGTATCTACCAAGCCAATGTTGCAGGGCATTGGAGAAATATATCAGTCTTATGGTGCAAAAACCTTATGAACCATACATTAAACCTCAAGGTTGATAGCATAAGGGGTGAGTTTCAATACACTTGTAAGATTGATGTTAAGCCATGGTACTTTTGGAACAAAAAAGGGTATAAATCTTTTGAGGTTGATGGCCATCCTGTGGAAGTCTATTGGGATCTCCGGTCAGCTAAGTTTTCCGGCAGCCCGGAGCCGAGCAGCGATTATTATGTAGCATTAGTGTCTGATGAAGAGGTGGTGTTGTTATTGGGGGATTATAGGAAGAAAGCTTACAAGAGAATGAAAATGAGACCAACCCTTATCGAGGCTGTGCTACTTGTCAAGAGAGAAAACGTTTTTGCCAAGAAAAGCTTCTCAACAAGGGCCAGATTTGATGAGAAGAGAAAAGAGAGTGACATTGTTGTGGAGAGTTCAACCATTGGGCAAAAAGAACCTGAAATGTGGATTAGCATAGATGGGATTGTGTTGATTCATGTTAAGAATTTGCAGTGGAAGTTTAGAGGGAACCAAACTGTTATGGTTAATAAGCAACCTGTACAAGTGTTTTGGGATGTGCATGATTGGTTGTTTAGTTTCCCAGGATCAGGACCTGGTTTGTTCATTTTCAAAGCAGGGCCTGCAGAGGCTGAGAATGAAAAAGAAGACAGAGTTTTTGAAGGTTGTGACAGTGATGATGGTAGTAGTGGTTATTATTCAACTCGGAGTTATGCTTCCTTTGAATCTTCCCTTGTTCTATGTGCCTACAAACTTGAGTAATAGGGCAGAGACCAAATGTATAATAGTGGGGACAATGATTAGAAAGATAGTAAAGTTAGTTCTATTTTTTGTGTGTCAATGGATATATCCAATATTATAAAGAATGCCAATTGCTTTTGCATAATGAATGGGAAGGTCTGGTTAATTGAAACCAGGATACTGTGATTGGTAATTGCATGGTTATTTTATCAAATTTTATGGTATTTTCTGTTGATGCAACTTTAACTCTTCACTCTAAGCCTTCACCTGTACTAGATACTAGATAGTAATGAGCATGACAAATGAGTTAGCAAAAAATGGGGTCATAATGTTCTATATTGCAATGATATACATATGTTCGCAACAAGTATAGCCAATACCAATAGCCAAAAGTAGAAGTAGTTAACTACTTTTTAAAACTAAATCAGCTAAACTTCATAAACATATAAAGACGTAAATAGTATTTGATTGGATTACAAATGTGTATACCTTTATTTGAGGTTTAAAATCTGGCATAGAGAGGAGATAGGAGATTAAATTGTAGTAGTGACATAATAGGATTGAAAAATAAACCTTAAATAACTTTAAGCTAATTCATGGTTTTATTACATTTTTAATCAGCTAGTAAGTTTGATACTATATATCAAAGTAACTCTTCTAAAAATTTAAGTTGTTTAATAAAAGCTCATGAATAACTTTACTACATCTCTAACAATATAGTGTGTAAAAATTGAAGTGCTATAAAATGATGTATTTTCAAAGGCTGAAGGTATTCTGATTTCTTAACTTCCTTCTATAAATCAAATTTCGGATACATTTTCCTTTCGTTTTTAGGTTTTCTATTCTTAGTTATTATTTTGCAATTTTGCAAAAAAATAAAAAATAAAAAATAAAATTTGGAGTACTTTATTTTGCAATGTTTCTTCTTCTACTCTCTTCCGTGGTTTTAAGAATGTTAAGCATGTTCAAGAATCAAGAGCTATGGATTATGAAAATTGAAAAACATGTCTATTTTTGTTGAAAATCGACAATCTCACAACACACAAATCTTAAACGAAAAAGAGTAAGGGAGAGAGAAAATTAACACGGTGATTTATTCAAGTTCATCCAATGTATGATATGTTCAGCTTGTCTGTACTATATTTACCTCACCGCCACTCATTACAAGTTACTCAGTTTACAAGGGAATATAAATAGGATTTAGAAAATCCTAACAGCAGCTATTCATGAGCTCAAGCCCAAACTGTTAAGAAAAATAAAATTACAATAAGTTAACGGAACCCCAATTGTCTTTCTACTGACCCTGCCAACAAGGACCCTCATCAGTATGCGAAGTATGAGTCATATTCCAATAATTTTGAGCCCATTCAAGTAATTTTAATTAAATACCTTTATATTTACATTTAAATCCTTTAAATGCACTAAATGTAAGGTTTTGTATAATGATCCTATTAGGTAAATCTTAATTAGAGATTTAATTTAAGGATTTAAATGTCATAATTTGATTCAGAGCATGATTTTGAGTATTTTGATTGTAATCATGACTAGATCATGAACAGTGCTTTCTACCGGATATTCTGCATTACTGTGTAGCAACCGGTGGAGCTTAAAATGAGCAAAATGAGTTTAGAGATCTAATTTGGAAATTCTGATGCCAAATATGAGTTCAAAACAAAAATTTGTATAGTCTGACATTTTCTGTGAAAATTTTGTGAATAGTGTTTCTGCTGGGTATTTTGTACCGCTGTCAACTGGTAGAGTCCAAAACTAAATAATTGATGAAATAAGAATAAGAAAGTCCAATATATGCCATACAAGTCATAGTATACCCAAGAATGATAAGTTTATAAGTTCTAAGTTTCGTAAGCAAACGGTGCACAGTTAGTGATTCACAGTGCATTTCGTCAAAAACGGTGCAAAAATCCTACTGTGAATTAAAAATACTATTCCTTAAGGAATAAAAATTAATGTAAATAAGTTCAAAAAAATAAAAATATGTGCGTAGCTTTAAGTGAGTTTCAGGTTAATTTAAGTGAAATTAAGTGAGCGAAAAATAACGGTAAAAGATTACACATCCTTATAAACTTAAGTTTTTCCTAAAAGTTACTATTCATTTCTGAAACTCATCTTCTCTCTCTGTGTGCTGGTTACAGTGTTCTCCATGGAAAGAGCTTGGATTTCGTTTCTTTTTCCCTTGATTTCTTATTCAAACAATCACCAAAATATAAAGTGTTATACATGAAAGTTTAAGTAAAATCTTGGTGAATCTATTCCACCCATTTGTTGGGCTGAAAAGGCTTGTGTGAGGAGCTTTCTCCTTTTCCAGATTTTGGTCACTATTCATCCTAGAGAGAGAAGTGGATTTTTGGTGGAACCAAGCTTGAGTTTTGTTCTCCAAGCCTTGTATAGGTGACTTGAGGTAAGAGATCCTCATTCTAATGGTTTAAATGTCATGATTTAAGTTTTGAATATTATGAGCATATGTTATGGAAAGTATTGGAGTTGAAAATTTGAAATTGATGATGAGTTAGTATGGTTTATGATGTTATAGTGTTAAATAGGCATGATTATAAGTTGGAATGTTGAAAAATTTCCTTACACCTCCTCCCACTAGGTTCGGCCATAATAGGTATATGAGGGTTCTTTGTGCAAAAAATATATTGCATGAATTGTGAAGAATTATATGTATGTGGAAGTGTGTATGAGTGGTTAAATTGAGTTAATAAAAATAAAAATCAATTGGAAAAAGCTCCCTTTAATTTCGGCCTATAGGGTTGTTTTGGGGGTTGGTTATGTTAAAAATTATTTTCATGATTTGTGTAGGTTCCAATGCATGGTATTAGTATGAATTGGAAGTGAATTGACATATGTTTGGCATAAGTGTGAAGAAATGAAAGTAAGCAATATGATGTATGCCTTGTGTAAAGTACATGGCATGATATTATTTGGGTTAATAAAAAGAAAAATCCATTGGAAAAAGCTCCCTTTAATTTCGACCAATAGGGTTGTTTGGGGGTTGGTTATGTTAAAAATTATTTTGATGATGTGTGTAGGTTTCAATGCATGGCATTGGTATGAATTGGAAGTGAATTAGCATATGTTTGGCATAAGTGTGAAGAAATGAAAGTAAGCAATAAGATGTATGCCTTGTGTAAAGTACATGGCATGATATTATTTTATTGATTTTTGTTCTGGATTCTTTCTCTAGGTGTGCCTAGAGACTATGAATGTTTGGATTCTCGTGGAGACAGATAAGTAGCTTGTTCTTCAAGTAAGCAAAGTGTGAAGCTTCACGAGGTAAACTCTATGTTTAAGGAGTCTTTTCCTGCTAGAGTGCTCCACCATGGTTAGTGAACTATGGTTGGATTGTATGATTGTATTTGATGCTTTGTATAGATGCATTCATATTGAGCTATTTGATAACATGATATGATTTGTTCTGATGTGATTTCTGTATTGATCTTTGGCCATTGATTTGTTTGTACACTGATGTCTGCTTGGGGTCCTCCCTCAGGACTGACTGTGTACACCTCTATATGTTCTGGTTCCGCTTGGGGTCCTCCCTTGGGAATGGCTGCGTACGCCTCTGATAAGATATGTATATTTGCTTTGTTCTGTTATGATATCTATTATATGATGTTTTGTATACTCTGTATCTGACTCTCATGCAGGAGTGAGCCCAGGGGTATGTAGAATTCTCTATAAACCTGGAGCTTATTCAGATTTGTTATCTCACCCCGTTTGGGGACATCATTTCAGGTGCACAGATTGCCGGTGAGCCTACACGGGACAGGGATACGACCCGTGGATATAGTGCATCGTAGACCGAATTTTTGGGTAGCAGTCTGCTACCATTATTTTGGAGGATTGTGAATTGTGTAACACCCATTTATACCCCTAAATTTTCACTGAGTACACTTTTTACCCCAAAGGTGACCCAAATTCACTTAATTAGGCCCTATACTTAATTTTACTCACTAATACATGCTAATTTACTTAATTACATGTAGTTTACTATTTAATTAGGTTATGGATATTATATTCACCCCACCTTTTAGCGATTTTGTCCGCAAAATCAGGCACATACCTATCCCTGAACTCGGGCTACCGCCAGAGAAACTCGTTCTCCCTGTTACCAACTGGACAGGTCAGGCCTTCTGCCTTTCTTGCGCATCTTAACCATTAAAATGGTTTTATCTTTACACTCATCCCCACATTTCCAGTAGGTGTAAGCCTTTTAGCTTACAGGTGATACTCGATTTCCTCAAGCCTATTTATTTTAACCCTATCAAGGTCTCTATCTAATATTAGTCATTTTTCTAATATTACCATCTACATGTGCTTTAGTACATCAGTTTTCTTACTGATAGTAAACTTTCCTATTTAATTGTACATCAGTTTTCTCACTGATAATACCATTCGATTAAAACATCAACGCATCAGTCCTTCCACTGATAATACTAACTACACTCATAATGGACCATCAGTCCTTTCACCGATGACCCTATCAGTCCTTCCACTGATAATATAATCCTTACCTCAACTTTTTCTTAGATATTAGTCCTTTCACTAATATCGCGCACCAATCCTTTCACTGGCACGCACATCAGTCCTTCCACTGATGATTTTATCAGTCCTTTCACTGATTTTATATATATCAGTCCTTTCACTGATTTCACATATCAGTCCTTTCACTGACATTACACACCAGTCCTTTCACTGATGATTTATCATTCAATGGTACATTAGCCCTTTCACTAACCATATCATCTTCCCTTTCACTTCATGAGTTACTCTTAGGGAATCATTCTTTTTAAAACAAATTTCAATCCGGGTGCTTCCAAGAGTCACTACTCTTAGAAATTATTCCATTAAGAAAGCCCCGTATCAACTTATTCTCCTGTTTAGATAATTTCTTCACCAGTACTTCGCATCCATCGTAGATACAAATTCATGCAACATAACTAAAGCAGTAAGAAATAGGTTCTGTCCACGACCACTACGAGGCCTAACTAAAGCAGTCAAAATAGGTTCTGGCTGAGCATTGGCATTCAATGCCTCAGCGTTATTTCGGTTTCTCGTCATGACACTACACATGTTACACGAAGAAATGAGTTGATCAGGCTCACGCTCAGTCATCACAGATGCAATAATCATAAAGAGTACCAAAACAACTATAAAGCATTAAACACCAAGCATATACAACAATAATCTACAATTTTCCCTAAGAAACTGCTCTGATACCATAAAATGTAACACCCATTTATACCCCTAAATTTTCACTGAGTACACTTTTTACCCCAAAAGTGACCCCAATTCACTTAATTAGGCCCTATACTTAATTTTACTCACTAATACATGCTAATTTACTTAATTACATGTAGTTTATTATTTAATTAGATTAGGGATATTATAAATTGCCTTAGTATTCCATTTATTTTGGTGGATCATGATGTCTGATTCGTCACTTTTTATATGGCCTGTATATGTTTTGTACATGTTTCTTCTTTGATGCATGTACAATTGTGTATTCAAGCATGTTTACATTATGATGTAGTATTCAGTTATATGATTACATGTTGGATATGCATGTTATTAGACATAGTGGCACAAAGCCAAGTTATGCATGCGCCTATAGATGAGTATATTGTCCTATATGGATGTCTGGTATTTCTGAAATCATATATTGTATAAACTGTCCATCAGGATACCTTAAGAGTGGGATTTGTAAATCCTCAGTTGTCCGATTTACAGAGGTTACTCTGTCCGATTTTCGTCTTCATCAAATAAGAATTAAACTAGGAGAAGTATGCAATGTGATATATCATGTGAAAAAGGATTAAGAAAAAGAAAAAGTTAGCTCGTATTTTCGTAACTTAAGTCTTCCGCTGTTTCTGTTTAGTATCATATGTGTGTTAATTGAACTGGCTCGAGACGGGGATGTTACATTTTGAACTTAAGTTCTTCCATTGTAGTTTTAATCTTGATCTCTTTTTAACATTGTCATATGTCTTGATGGATTTTATAATTGTTGACTCGTTTGAGTTGTTCATCTTAGACTTCATATTTTATTTTTTATTTTTTTGATATACCTATTATAATTACTTCTTTGAGGCGAGTTGACTTCTCAGTATTCCCATAACTTTCAACTCTTAGATTTCATTTTAATTGTTGCAAATTGTAATACTTTTGAAGTCATCTTTCTATGCTTGTGTAGGGACACTTTCAGGTTATCTACCAAAAAACAAGATCTATACCTCTAGGAACCTACTTAAAATATGGTTTTGCAAACGACACAATTACAATTAAATTAATTTAAAATGATATTTAACGGGGTACAAATGACTCAAACATTTATTAATGGGTTTTATACTTATTATGCAACATAAGAAGAGCCTTCTCATACTACACTCACACTGTTTTGCATGTCAATATTTTTAAAGTTTTTATTTACTTTTTTTCAATAGAACCCATCTAAATATGTGTGTGGTGCAAAAATTCTCTTCTTATGTTTGCGTGATAAGTATAAACCCCTTTATTAATATACATGTAACAATAAGTTGAAATATGAAAGTGTCAAAAACACTAGAGTAGAATAAAAGGAGTCAGCAATATAGTGTAAATACATGGAGGTTTTGGTTCGTTTTAAGTAATATCATGGTTTCCAAGGTGGTGGTGGAGGTGGATTCTGCGGCCCAAGTGGTGGAATCGCAGAAAAAATGGTATTTTTGTCAATGCCACTACCTGTGGTACTGGTTAAGGAAATTAATGCAGCAACTAGTCCTGCATTTCCAGCTAAGGTTGGTTCAGTGTAGTTGTAATTGCTTCTTGAATCATGGAATTGGTCAAAACGATCTGGCCCTCCAACCAATGCTCCTGTGATGGTGTTAGGATTTTGGTTACTGCTGTCACGCCACTTGAAACCCCCAGTGCATGAGTAATGTTTGTGATCATTTGGAGTGGATGCACCTCTATGATGAACATGTTTAGGATACTTGTTTCCAAACCCCACTATGTAGCTCATTTTCATGGGATTTTTACCCATGATGTAATCAATCTGTTTCATGAGAATATAAAACATATTATTAGGGGTGAGGGTCGATTGGATGCAACCTTGTAACCTTACTCTTGTATTTTTACAAAGAGGCCAAGAGACCATTACTTAATTTTATCTACTTTAGAGTTCATTATATCTAAAAAATCAAAATGGAAATGAAATGAAGATGGTACCTGAGAGGTTGCAAATGCCTTCAGAACAGATGTTTGAAAGAAATTAGAGCCACAATACCACCCAGGGACATCAATTACATCCATATAATCAGCAAAAAGTGATGCCAAGAAAGCAGCATTAGCAACATATTGGAGATCTTGTGGTTGTCCATGGTTCAATTGTATCAACCCCCCTGAAAATTTTCATGCCAACAATCATCTCATCATGCTGAATAATCACAACCATAATTTTGAGTCCAGTCGAAGACATTGAATAGGACAAAAAAAAAAAAAAAAAGTTCATCTTATTAATTTAATTACCTTTAGTCCAGTTGAAGACATTGAATTGATGAAGATAAGAGCACATGGTAAGACCAGTTATATTTTGGTACATATTTAGCATGTCCTCATAGGGGTACCCAGGATTCAAAAACACCCTGAACCTTGTTAGCAACAACATTGCAGCAGGTAACTTGTTATTCCAGCTCAAAACACTCAAATCAGGAATCATGGAAAATGCTCTGGCATTCTTAGGTATCCCAGGATTGGTTGCTAAGGAAATGTATGTTCTATTTCCAGTGGCATAATACAACCAAGCACCACCCCACATGTATTCATCATAATAGCCAGAGGAATTATAATAAGGTTCAATATAAGCTTGCCCCTTACTATATTGCCTCCTCTTACCAGAATCTCTAGCAAAGGTAAACACAGTTTCAGCACCCTTAATGAGTTTTTGGGAATAGACAACGTCATCTTGGAAAACTATAGATGCTGCTGCTAATGCTGCTGCCATTTCCCCTGCAAGATCTGGCCCTTGAAATATAGGTATGGTGGGGCGTGGATAGTCCATATCTTCTGGTCTTTGCCAACAATGGTGATCATCTGGTGTTGTTGTACCATTTAGAGATCCACCAACCTAACATAAAATGCACATATTTTGCACTCAGCATCCAAATTTGCTCTCTTTTCCTACCCTTGCTTTTGAAAGAAGCAACCCAAATTGGGAAATATAACTAAAAGATTTGCTGACTACCACACAAGAAAGAAACAGATAAAATTAAAGTGACATATATAATGTTTACTTTTTCCCTTAATTGATAATAGAAATTTTTACATGCAGGACATAATCATGAATGAGATTTATATGTAAAACCGCATAGAACATTCATCCCTTAATTTTTCACCCGATTTTAAAAGGTATGCCAAATCTAAATATAGGCAGAAATAATTCCACAATAATGAAGCCATAAAATTCTCCCCGACTTGCGAAGATAGAGGTGAGGGTCAATTATATGCAGTCTTATCCTTAGATGTTTGGAAAAAGGCTTTTTTCGATACTCAACCAGTGATCTTCCAGTCATATAGAACAACTTTGTTACTGCTCCAAAGTTTGCCCACAAAATTTATCAATTAAATAATGAATTTGTTTAGATTGTGAAAGGGTATTATAACAAACGATGATGAGTTATTCATGACCACTTGAATTGATAAATATGATCAAATTGACCAAATTTCAAGATCAATGAAGTAGCATCTGTAAGAGAAAAACAAAAGAGAAAAAACATGGAGAAGAACACTTAGGGTACCTGTCCATATATTTTGCTGATCTTGGTAGCAGAAGTATTGAAGGTTAAGAGCAAGTAATCAGTACCCCACTTGATGAGTTCTCGAGCATGTGCATACTCATTAATAGCAATGTACTTTTGCTTATATTCTAGCACACTCCAACTAAGCATTGTCATGGCAAATGACATGGGAAAGTGGAACTTTATATTGTCCCCTGCATCATAGTAACCTCCAACTAATCCTCCTTTAACATCAGTGTCATTTCCATCTTGTAATCCTGAGTTCCCTCGCCATGGAATTCCATTGTTCTTGGGCAATCTCCCAGCTTCATCACCACAATAAACCATTCAAATTTTAACTTTTGTTATTCAAGTCTGAAAAGAGGAATAATAATATTCTAGTGTGTACTTAGATATTGATGTTATTTTGAGGGTTAAAACTTGCTGAAAGAATTTTCAAAACCAAGAATCCCATTATAATTATGAGAAATATAAGAATCATGTTGCTTGCAGGAATGACACTATTCATTCCTGCAACAAGGATCCGCTTCGGTATCTTAAGGATACGGCATCGTATCCTGATTTTGGTCTGACTTTCTTTTTTTAAGCGTGGGACACACACTTAATTTGTGTGTGCAAGAAAGTGCTCTAATCATGTCACATGACAAAAAGCGAACCCTATAATCATTTACTAAACATTCTGGTAATCGTACGATGGGAGCTTCATTTGTAATTCTTACTCTCTCTTTTTTCTTAAATAGAAGAAGATTTAGGTGAGATCAAATGCTGGTATCTCACCAGGATTGATTATTAGAGGATTGATTTAATTTATTATTACAGGACACAAATCCACTATTGTAGATCTATTCTATATTGTTAGAAATTATGTAAATAGTATTTAGATTCATTAAATAAACTAACTAAATTATATAATTACGGTAATTCAAATATTTAATTAAAATAAACTCAAAAATATTTGCTGTTGAAAAACGGTACGGGTACACTTATTTTATATTTTTAATAAAACATATCGTAGTTGTAATATTTAAAAGATGAAGAAGGATCAAATTATAAGAATAACTCTTAAAATATATATAATTTAACATTACAACTAAATACAATATAAATACAAAGTGGAACTCTTAAAAGATTCCATTAAATAAGCAAGTAAAAACAATTTATGAGCTAACATATAAAAGGAAAACAACAGAGCAATAGCACTCTTCACAAAATGAGAGAGAAACCTTCTTAAGTAGGCTATATTTTAAAATAAAAAAATCCCATCTCCACAAAGAAAAGTCCTCCCCTCGATTTCACTCTCCACTATAGCTATTATTAATAATTACTGTAACATCAATTTACTGTTAAAAAAACCGATTAAAATTTATGTTTAGTTGAGAGACAGAGACAGAATAGTTGAAATCTATCATATAGGCATAATAAATATTTATGTTTAGCAACATCTTTGATGAAAAAAAAAAAAAAAAAAAAAAGAGGATTACTCTGTCCAATTAAATATTGGGGGATCTAAACACATTTACATGCCCCTCGCATTTTGCAGTTTAGTTAATAAGTAATGGAGCACACTCCTAAAGTAGTAACAAATTTAGTAAGGGACATATATATTAGTTCTAGAAAATGCAAAAACCACATCTTGTAAGAATTAAATATATTACTCATAAAAAAGTTCTCGAAGAAAAGAATGGGTTAGGCGCGTGAGTTTACGCGCGCGATTTTTTTTTCTGTCTGCTAGGGCTTTGCTTTCTGTGTTAGCTGAGTAGGTTCAATGGGAGAGGTGAGAGTCGGTGAGAATGACACGCTGGTCATGATGAGGAAGAGTATCAAGAGATCGAAGAATGGCGAGGAGATCCAAACGGAAGTTGTGATGCGCGATGCGATCAAGGAGTTTCAGGCTGGATCTTCCATGCTTGAAAAGTTCAGATCCTTTGCTGAGGTGACAGGAGTTGAGAACGGGGTGTCGGGCGACAACGTTCCATGGCTGATCGAAGAGGATGAACCGGATCTGGAGCCTTTAGATCCTAATTTGGGGGCGATCTCTGAATGGGGTTTTCAGACCATTATCAGAGAAGATGGTTCCGTTGAAATAAGGAGTAACAAAGAAGCGAGAATGAGAATGTGTCAAAGGTGGAAAAATGCACTGATCGTGAAGCTGCTGGGCAAGAAGATAGGCTTCGGGTTTATGAAGAAGAGATTGGAGGTGATGTGGGCGAAATCTGGCAGCATCACTGTTGCTGATCTCGGCAATGAGTTTTTCTCCGTACGTTTTAGTAGCTTGGAAGACATGAACCTTGCAATTACAGGTGGACCGTGGGTCATATTGGGTCATTATCTTGCCACAAGGAAATGGGAACCTTGTTTTGATCCTGAGAAGGCTAATATCCATAAGGTAGCAGCATGGATTCGACTTCCAGGGATTCCACAAGAGTACTGTGAATTCCCTTTCCTAAATCATTTAGGATCGGTGATTGGGAAAGTAATCAAAGTTGACAGGACAACTTCAACTGGAGATAGGGCCAGATTTGCTAGAGTGTGCATCGAAATTGATCTCTCTAGGCCTTTAAGGGGTGAGTATGTATTGGATGGTTGTAGGAAGAGGGTAGAGTATGAAGGGCTTTATTTGATTTGCCTTAGGTGTGGTAGGTATGGACATAATTCTGAGGCTTGTCCAGATTATGTGAAGCCTACACCTGTGCATCAGACTGGGGAGAAGTCTGGTAATTCTGTAGATAATTCTTGCAGTCAAGGTTTGGGACCATGGATGGTAGTTAATCGAAGGAAGAAAGGCCAACAGGCTGTGCAGAAGCAAGAGTCTGGAGCCAACAGAACATTTGGTGAAGACATTTCTAACAAGAAAAACATGGTGGGTCCAAGAACTGGTGCTTATAGAGAAAAGGGTAACACAAAAGGGGTTCAGGTTAAGCAACCTGTGAGCAGCTCTCTCAATCCTGGTGTGAATAAGGAGAACATTTCCTCGGGTAGCAAGGTGGATTCCCCAGTAATTGGCATGCTATTCTCAACTGTGGCTTCTAGCTCTGTCAAAAAGACTGGTGGTAATAAACCAGTGGGGGTGAAATCAAAGAAGTATGTGGCTAAGGCCATGAATGGTAAGGGAAAAGGAATATGTAAGGAATTCTCTAAGGCTTTGGGAGCAAGTAGTTCTGGTTTGCAGAAAAAAGTTGAGCTGGATGGAGAAGTTGATTTATCAGGAGTATTTAATGGGCTAGAGGGGAATTCTGCACTTAGTTCAGAAAAATCTTCAGGTGAGGCTATGGTTGATGTTGATCCGGTGCAGGAACCTGAACCTCCTGACCAAATCATGAGTGACTCGTTAAAGCTGCTAGCTGATAGTGCAGGTATGGAGGTAGCTTTACCTTTAAAAGAGCAGTTAACTAATTCTGTTTATGAGCCTATTTGTGATGCTGATCTTTTTGAGAATCAGAGTTATATGTGTGTTAATAATGATGAAAGCTGCAGGAGCTTAGTAATCTTGCAAAAAAACCAAAGTTCATCATGAATGTTCTCACGTGGAACTGTAGGGGTGCTGCTAAGAAACAGTTTAAGAGCACCTTCAGTAGATTTAGAAAGAAGTATAAGGTTGGGATGGCAGCTATCCTGGAACCTAGGGTGAGTGGAAATAAGGCTGCTAATATAATTAAAAGTTTGGGTTTTTCTAATAAATTGATAGTTGAAGCACAAGGTTTTTCAGGAGGTATCTGGCTTGTTTGGAACTCTTGTGATGTTAATATTTCTCTCATTTCCCAGCATGATCAATTTATTCATTGTTGGGTGGAGCTGGCTGGTTTGAAGGGCTTCTTTTGGACGGCTGTTTATGCCAATCCTCAAGAAGGGAAGCGTAGGCTGTTGTGGGAGGAGTTAAAACAGATTGGAAGGACTATGGATGAGGCATGGTTATTGATAGGTGACTTCAATGAGATTACTAGTGCTGAGGAGAATAGGGGAGGAGGTCCCATTGACTATAGTAGGTGTATACAGTTTGCAAATGTGCTGAGTGCCTGTGGTGTCTTGGATTTGGGAGGAGGTGGCAATTGATTTACCTGGAGAGGTCCAAAATTCCTTCATTTGGACAGAGTATTTAAGAGACTTGATAGAGCTGTGGCAAATGAGAAATGGAGAGCTAGTTTTCAGGATGCTGATGTGTTAACACTTCCTAGACTGTTTTTTGATCATTGTCCTGTTCTTGTCAGATTGGAGAAAGAGGAAGTAGGATGGAGAGAGCGGCCATTTAGATTCCTTGCTTCCTGGCAGGCTGATCCCAGATTTAGCAATCTTATCAAGGCTAATTGGAATCAAGCTACAAATCTGTGTGATGGGTTGCACTCCTTCACTCCAGTTCTAAAGGACTGGAATAAAAATGTGTTTGATTTTATCCAACACAAGAAGAACCTAGGGTGAGTGGAAATAAGGCTGCTAATATAATTAAAAGTTTGGGTTTTTCTAATAAATTGATAGTTGAAGCACAAGGTTTTTCAGGAGGTATCTGGCTTGTTTGGAACTCTTGTGATGTTAATTTCTCTCATTTCCCAGCATGATCAATTTATTCATTGTTGGGTGGAGCTGGCTGGTTTGAAAGGCTTCTTTTGGACGGCTGTTTATGCCAATCCTCAAGAAGGGAAGCGTAGGCTGTTGTGGGAGGAGTTAAAACAGATTGGAAGGACTATGGATGAGGCATGGTTATTGATAGGTGACTTCAATGAGATTACTAGTGCTGAGGAGAAGAGGGGAGGAGGTCCCATTGACTATAGTAGGTGTATACAGTTTGCAAATGTGCTGAGTGCCTGTGGTGTCTTGGATTTGGGAGGAGGTGGCAATTGATTTACCTGGAGAGGTCCAAAATTCCTTCATTTGGACAGAGTATTTAAGAGACTTGATAGAGCTGTGGCAAATGAGAATTGGAGAGCTAGTTTTCAGGATGCTGATGTGTTAACACTTCCTAGACTGTTTTCTGATCATTGTCCTGTTCTTGTCAGATTGGAGAAAGAGGAAGTAGGATGGAGAGAGCGGCCATTTAGATTCCTTGCTTCCTGGCAGGCTGATCCCAGATTTAGCAATCTTATCAAGGCTAATTGGAATCAAGCTACAAATCTGTGTGATGGGTTGCACTCCTTCACTCCAGTTCTAAAGGACTGGAATAAAAATGTGTTTGATTTTATCCAACACAAGAAGAACAGAATTATAGCTAGATTGGATGGTATTCAGAAGCAAAGTAGTAGCTATCCTAGTAGGAAATTTGAGAAATTGGAGGCCAAGCTAAGAAAGGAGCTCTCAGATATACTGGATCAAGAGGAACAAATTTGGCATAAAAAATCTAGAGGAGACTGGATTAGAGATGGGGATAGGAATACCAGGTTTTACCACACCAGCACTTTGATCCGAAGGAAAAGGAATAAAGTCCTAAAACTGCAAGATGAGGCTGGACACTGGATCAATGGGGAAGAGGAGCTTATTGCTTTGGCTAGGAACTTCTTCATTAATTTGTTCAAGGAAGAGACTTCTGTTCCTATTTGGTTGCATACAAGTAATTCTTGGCCAGAAATAAAGGAAGACCGGTTGGAGTCTCTTTCTTTAAGTGTTGGAATGGAGGAGGTGAAAGTTGCTTTTTTTTAGATGGCTCCTTTGAAGGCACCTGGTCCAGATGGCTTCCCTGCTTTGTTTTTTCAAAGGAACTGGGAGATCCTTAAAGATCAAGTTCTCACAAGTATGAGGGGGTATCTTGACAAACCGCAGCTAATTCAGGAGATTAACTACACTCTGTTAGCTCTTATTCCTAAGATGGAGAGACCTTGTCTCATGAAGCAGTTTAGACCAATAGCACTTTGTAATTCTATTTACAAGGGGCTGAGCAAAATCCTTGCTAACAAAATTAAACATCTTTTGGGGAGTCTCATTTCCCCCAATCAGGTTAGTTTTGTTCCTAGAAGGCAAATCCAAGACAATATAATAATTGCTCAAGAGTTGGTGCATGCGATGCATAAAATGAAGGGAAGGAAGAGCTTTCTGTCCATCAAAATTGACTTTGAAAAAGCTTATGATAAGCTCAATTGGAGGTTCATAAGATCAGTGTTGGATGAAGTGAATCTGCCAGGGGATTTAGTTGAAGCCATTATGGGCTGTGTGACTAGTACTCATTTGGAGGTGTTGTGGAATGGGGGTAGGACTACTGGATTTAGTCCTCAACGTGGCATTAGACAAGGGGATCCCATATCCCCTTATCTGTTTGTCTTATGTATGGAAAAGCTAACTCATTTAATTATGGATGAGGTGGAGGCTAAGCATTGGAGACCAATAAAGGCTGGAAAGTCTGGTCCATATATTTCTCACCTTATGTTTGCAAATGATGTTATATTGTTTGCTGAAGCATCTTTGTCTCAACTGGAATCAATCACTCATTGTTTGGAGAAATTTTCTAAGATGTCTGGGCAATGTGTGAGTGTGGAGAAGTCTTGTATATATTTCTCAAGGAATGCTCCTCAAGAGGTAGTAGATTCGGTCACCTCTGTTAGTGGGTTTAAAAAGGTCAGTAATCTGGGATGTTATTTGGGTTCTTTGATGAAGCATGGTAGAGTGAGAAGAGATCATTATGCTGATGCTATTACTAGAGTCCAAGGTAGACTGCAAGGATGGAAGTCAAAGTGTCTATCTCTGGCAGGTAGGATTACCTTAGCCAAGAGTATTATTTCAGCTATCCCTTCCTTCCAGATGCAAAACAGTATGTTACCTGTTCATGTTTGCCAGGAGATTGAGAGATTGCAGAGGAACTTCATCTGGGGGGATTCTGAAACTAAGAAGAAAGCCCATTATGTATCGTGGGAGCAAATCTGTCAGTCTAGGGAATGTGGTGGGTTAGGAATCATGAACCCGAGAAGACAAAATGAAGCATTTATGCAAAAATTGGCTTGGTAGGTTATGACTGATCATGATAGACTTTGGGTCAAGGTGATGTTATGAAAATATGGTAGGAATGCTAATCCTAGCCGCTGCCTAATTTCAAGAACTTCTGACTCTCCTCTATGGAAGCATATATGTAGAGGACATAATGATTTATATCAGCACCTTGAGTGGAAGATTGGTAATGGAAAGGAAATTTATTTCTGGTCTGATGTGTGGGGAGGGTGGAAGAGGAGTCTATATGACCTTGCTGCAAATAAACCTCCTGATTCTCAACTATCCTTTAAAGTAAGTGATTATGTTGATCAAGTCACGGGAGATTGGAGATGGAGCTGCCTTGTTATGTGGTTAGATGCTAATACCATTAATAAGCTTAAAAATATTAGAACCCCTGCTATTGATGGTCCAGATGACAGTTTGAACTGGATTTGGAGTAGTCCAAGTAAGTCCTTTGTGAGGAATGCTTACTGTCATTTCCCTGAATCTGGTGAAAGAGATCGAGTTTGGGCAGCTATATGGAAGTGGAGGGGGCCTTACAGGGTTGCAGTTTTTCTATGGCTGGCTTGTTTGAATAAAATTCATGTTCGAGCTATGACAGGACAATGGTATGAGGGAAAAAGTATGTGCCCTGCTTGTAAGATTCATCCAGAAACTGTTATGCATGTGTTGAGGGACTGTAGGGTAGCTAGGCAGGTGTGGGAAAGATGGTTCTCGAATAATATTCCTAAAACTTTCTTAGCAGTGGAAGGAAGGGAATGGTTCAAGATTAATAATCTGTTTCACCCTTTTGTTAGTAAGCTTTGGGGGTCTTGGAAGGAGGTATTTTTTGTGACCTGCTGGTTTTTGTGGCAGTGGAGAAATTCAACGGTTCATGAAGTGTTGTTTTCTTTGCCTCAAGATCCAGTGCATGCAATCCTGGTTTTTTTGGATGGGATGAAAAGAAGTGCTAATCTTGATGTCTCTGCTGCAGGGGCTGATGGCATTTCCCTTGTTGGGAATTCTGGACAGCAGCTTGATGAATATCAGGTTAAAATTTTTGTTGATGGTGCCTGTAAGCTAGCCTCCAATATAGGATCCAGTGGTGGGTTTCTTTGCTCCTCTGTAGGTGAATGGAAAGGTGGTTTCTCTTACAATATAGGCAATTGTTCTGCCTTGGAAGCTGAATTATGGGGGATATACCATGGCTGTAAATTGGCAAGTGATATGCAGTATTCAAAGGTGTGGATAGGCTGTGATAGCAAAGAGGCTTAACTTTGCTTGGAGGAGAATGATGAAGTTTGTGGTTTCTCATACTTGATAGGCAAAATTCGAGAAGTGGCTCTGGCCTTTGAGAAATTCCAGTTGGAGTTTGTCCCAAGAGAATCCAATTCTTGTGCAGATTACTTGGCTAAATTAGGATTTAGTCTCAAGGGTGAAGAGTTGAGGTTACACTCCTCTCCCTGATGATATGTTGAAGTTTTGGTTAGAATTTAGCTCCATTTTGTTGATGGAGCATGTTTGTTTGTATTTGCAGCGTTTGACTGTTTAGTTTTCTTTGGGCTTGGCCCTCCATTTTTATCAAAAAAAAAAAGAAAAAATATATTACTCATATAAATCGTTAGGTACCACATACATTAGTCTCTGAGAATGATTAATATAACTGACATATAGTTTCTAAGACTAATGCGTTTATTAATAAACTTTTCACAAGCAAATTTGGGAGTTTATTCTTAATTATCATAATGTACAATATTTTTTGCTAAAGAAAAATCTAGGTTGAAGAAAACTGGCTCCTACTCTTTTAGGTGTCATTTGGGCATTAGTTTTTGCAGATCAACAGAATCGGTCAAATAACAACGACATACACTTGTGTTCAAAAAGCCGTCCGTTGATATAATATTTTTGAATGAGTCAAAAACCATCGATGGAACACTTAATTAAAACAAATCCAAAGCAACTGACTCATGGAGTGAAATTAAAGACGCTACATAGTGTTTAATAATAATATATAATAATAAATATGATGATGCTATGTTAAAACATATATTTTTATGGTTTTAAGTAACATGTAGTTGGATGAGCTTCTAGCTCTTAGAAGGTGTTGACGAAAGAAAACAGTAAACTAAACTGCCACATTCCATTAGTATAGTACAAGGGCTTATCAAATGCACGTTGAGAAGAGTAGTTTTATATAGTATATATAAAAAGAGTATGTTGACTTTTTTTTTTATTTTCATTTACATCTATTATGTAAAAACTCATATTTAATTCACCACCGATCATGATGGCAAGTTATAAGCTGTTCAAATGCATGCAAGTATGAATGTACATGAATCAATACATAAGTAAATATGACTAATTTTGATATAAAAATAAAGAAAATGCTCGTTTAAATATTTTCCAGCCCAATTCATAATATTTTTTTTTTTTATGGAGTAGGTTATTCATACATAATACAAAATTAAGAAATCTTACACTCATTCTTGATGTATCATTGATCTATTTATATTTAATGTCTCACATAATTTAAAAATTAGAGTCATTAGATATAAGTGAGATTAACTGCTAAAATTAAGAGTATAATTTATATTGATGTAAAATAATCTCGACCCAATTTTTATAGAATCTTTTTATTATTGTGTCTATCAATCATCGATCAAGGTCAAGTAAAATTATGATAAAAAGTAAAATACGATAATCTAAATGAGAACAAAAATGAATATTTGCATATAAAGAAGAGAAAAATAAGAATGATGGTGAGATGAAGAGCATACGTACATTTTTGAGCGTTGAAGAAGAGGAGTGCTTTGTGAAGGGCAAGTGTGTAATTATCAGGTGGGGTAGGTCGAGAATGATGCTTAGGCAACGACTTGGCGATGATGATGGGAAGTCCAATGACACAAAAAGCCACGAAAATGGAACCCAAAATCCATTTCAATGCCTTGTGGCTAAACACTATGCACCCAAAGTCCACATATTTGGTCTTCTTTTTATTCTCAGCCCTTTCTAGAACCCAACTTTGAAGAGTTTCATCCAAATCATGGCGGAGAATTTGGTGGCTCTGACTATCATGTTCAAGCAACGCTGCCCTATCCCACTCTGTACATGTGTTTCGGCTATTCTCATAGCCACCTGAGGCCACTTCACCACTTGTGTCCATTTCAAAGGACCCTCCCCAATGATTCCTTGAATGCATGATATATAATATAATCTATGATCTTATGATATATATAAATGATGATGATATTTGTTACATATGTTGTTACCTCTCACTTGATGATCTTTCTCTTTCCTTCTATTTGGGGTTATCTTGATTATGATGATTCCGGAGAAGACTTCATTGGTTTTGGTACACAAACTACTACTCACAAAGAAATGGCATGAATGAAGAAAGACGAGAAAGCTAAACCTAAATTGCCAAGTCAAGAGCGTGTTATTATATATATGTATGCGTATTGTATGGGGTGTGACTTAGGAATTAATGAACGGGCTTGAGAAGAGAGAGATGGTACAAGTTAACAACAGCTATGAGTTAGAGAGAGAGAGAGAGAGAGCGAGAGAGAGAGAATTTGCATAAGGAATTAGAGAGATCTTCTTTCTATTAATATAAAACAACACATTTTGCGTGTTCTGTTGATATTCAAAACAGCTGAAAAATGTGTATCATTTCAAAGGATATAAAATTGTGACATTTTAACATAGAAAAAGAGATAGATAAAGAAGGAGAGAGAGTTGACAAAAAAAAAGTAAAAGTGTGGGTCTCACCTCTTTGTGAGAGTGAAATGATATAAATTATATTATTTAAAAAGATAAATATTTTTCCCTCAAAAAAGTATTCATATATATTACCAAAAATAATTAAAGAATAAATAATGATGTCAGTCACCACGTACCCGTCCAGCTATATACAGCACCTACTTCCACAAAAAAGAATGCTTGGAATTTCACCATATATTTGTAAATAAAATTGATACGCGTTTTTCACCAAAAAAAAAAATTGATACGCGTTAAGATTTTATTAGTGTCAGACGCGACGTTTAAAATATATGAATTGGAAGTGCTAAATTATATGCTAACTCCAAAAGAAGTGAGTTTAATGAGAAAAATACTCATGTAGATATATATGTCAAAATCAATTGTAAGTCTAATTAAAATTTATTTAGCAAAAGAAAATTATGTATTGCAGATCATGACATTCAAATATAAAAAAAAAAATGTATTAAGAATTTAATTTTGATGTTCCAATTAATGCCATGAAAAAAAAAAATATATATACGGACAAATAATTATTGGTTTAGGTGTTAAGGTTTTTATTTATCTTAAACAAAAGTCTTGAGTTTGAGATATTAAAATGGAAAAAATTATTTTAGAGAGTAGCCCCTATGAGTCCGTCGATATTCGAACTGGTTACTAAATTATTAATGATAGTTAATGAATTGATTGAAAAAAATAAATAAATTATTATACTATTATCCAGTCATGTATATTTAAATCATTAAACACGTTGGATTATTAACCACAACTCAACAAGTCTAAATACATTAAGGAAATATGTTCGGTACCACATTGATAAATGATAATATATAATACAAAACATTTTACAGTTTATTAATTAAATTTAAGCTCAACTAATTTTTTTTTAGTTTAATTTATATATACTGTTAATATAAATTAATGACTTTTATAGGTACTGTTAATATTGGAGTTTTATGCTAACATTTACCAATATTTTATCACATTATTAATTACTATAATCTCAATTTTCAATAATTAAAATAAATGTAATAAATAATTATACGTTAGTGCAATATATATATACTATTTGAGAATAACTTTATTTTGCGACTAAAATATATATTTCTTGAATACTACCATCGTATACATCAAAAAGAGGTATAGAATGCAGTCCAGAAAATAAAGAGCACAGCTTACAAGGCACCAGTTATTTAACTTTGTTTATAAAAAAGTAATAAATATTTAACTAACATGTCCTTTTTGTAACAATTTTTTATTTATAAGATTATTTAAAAGAAAAATATTAAAGAGACAAAATTTTATTATTACTAAAATGATATAACTAATTTTTGAATTCTTAAATAAATAAGTAATACTTGACATTTTATGTCATTCAATAATCATCTTTAAATTTTATTAAAATTTTACTTTTATATATATATATATATATATATATATATATATATATATATATATATATATATATAGGGAGGGGTTATATTTACTACCTGTTAATCTTACTACCTTTACTACTGAATTATAACCATTAGATTAACTTTTAATCTAATGGCTCATATTTATCCCTTATAATCCTAATTTTTTCCTCAATCACTCACCTCCTTTCTCTCTCTATACGTCTGGGAACTGCCCTGCTCTCTCCAAATTCCTCTATTCATCGTTGCTTTTCTTTCTTTTGTTTTTTTAAATTTCTTTTGTCACCATTCATCGCTCTCCATGAACGACAGCGAGGAGCAACAAACTCAGGCGGAAAACTCTTTTTCACCGGAATGCATGCCGGCAAGCATCATGCCCCTGGTAAATATTTTAGCTTCTTCTAAGAACTTCGAACATTATTCTAAGATAAATAGTAAATTGGTGTTGGTGTGGCAATATCAAATTGAATTGTCAAAGAGTCACTGATTCATGAACTATAAGAAACTTAAAAAAATACTTTGAACTTAAAATACTTTTGGCTACAGTAAGTATCATAATTTGTCTTATTCCAATGTAAATTCAGGGAATACGAGCCCAAATGTTAAAGGTGTAATAGACAAGTATTACACCACAAGGTTAAAATCACTATTGAATTAATTATTATCGACTTTTGTTCTTCAAGATTGGAGTTGCAGGAAAAATTGCATATGCACGAGAACCGAGCATTAATTATTTCAACACTTTGAAATTGAAAGTGTTCGATGAGGATTGAATGAGAAAGGGAGACCCTTCTAGTTAAAATGATACTTGCTTTTGAAATTAGTAAGTAAATTAGTTAACGTAGCCCTCTAGTTAACCCATTGTACCAAATGATATGAAAGCAATATTCCATTTGTACTGTGTTTTTTAGTTATATCTCATAGAATTTGACTATATAATTGTCACTTGTTTATTTCAATGAAGGTCAATATGGAAGATGATCCAATTAATTATATTGACTTCAGTCATGATTGCGTGTCAAATGAAATGGAATACGTCGGAGTAGGAAATGAAATACCTGATGAAATGGAAGATGACATATCAAATGACTTGCCTAACAATATGTCAATTGCCATTCCATTATCACCGACAAAGAATGCTAAAGTTTCCATTGAGGTGGGAATGGAATTTCCCGAATGGAAGGATATAGTAAACTTATATACAGCATTTGGTAGGATAAGAGGATTCGGGATCCGGAGACGAACATCCAGGGAGGACTACGTGAAGCTAACATGCATTAGAGAAGGTCATCCACAAACTAAAAAGGAAGAAAATGTGGGTAAATTGTGTGAGGCCAAGTCAAGGAGAACATCATCGTCACGTATAGGATGTGAAGCTTGTGTCAAGGCTTCTAGGAATAAAAAAACAAATATGTGGAGAATTACACATTTCATCGACAACCATAATCATGAGATGGTTACTCCGAAAAGTGTTACATATCTGAGATCACACAGAAAAATGCCTGATGCTGCAAAATGTTTGGTAGAAAAATTCAACAACTCGAGTTTGCCAACTGGAAAGGTAGCCACCATATTCAAAAGCCATGATCTGGGGTTTGACAGTCGAGATTGTTATAATCATATGAAAAATGTGAGAAGAAAGATATATGATGCTGGGGATGCACAAGCTGTGCTACATTATTGTATTAAACAACAAGCATTAAATCTGGATTTTTTTTATTCCATCAAGTGTGATGATGATGATCGAATGGTAAGCTTTTTTTGGATTGATGCAAGATCCAGACATGCCTATAAGCTTTTTGGTGATGTGATAACGTTTGACACGACATACAGGACTAATAAGTATTACATGCCATTTGGACCCTTTGTTGGTGTAAATAATCATATGCAATCGCTCTTGCTCGGATGTGCTTTATTACAAGATGAAACTGAGGATACTTTTATATGGCTATTCGAGGAATGGCTACGAGCAATGAATGGGAAACATCCAGTTGCCATAATTACTGATCAGGTATGATCAATTTGATGAACTTTATATCAATATTTTATATATCATCTTAAATGTGATGGTTTATTACTACTTGCATACCTACTAATACCTCTGAATTTCCAGGACATGGCAATTAGCAATGCAGTTGCCAAAGTTTTCCCAAACACCAAGCATCGATTTTGTTTGTGGCACATCATGAAAAAATTTCCTGAGAAGCTATCCCATGTTTACCATGAGCATGCATCATTTAAGAAGAATTTGAACGAGTGTATATGGAGCTCCAAGAGTGCTGAAGAGTTTGAAGAAAGATGGCAACATCTTCTTATTCAGTATAGTCTTCATGGAAATGAATGGTTGCATGGACTCTACTCAATTAGATCGTCATGGGTACCAATCTTCAACAGATCCATTTTTTTTGCTGGCATGAACACTACTCAGCGCAGTGAGAGTATAAATTCATTCTTTGATGGTTTTGTTACATCTGGCACAACATTGAAGGAATTTGTGGAGAAATATAACCAAGCAGTAGATACTCGGTACGAGTCATCCAAAAAAGAAGACTTTGAATCTAAGCACAAAGAAAGGCTTTTGACATTTAATATGCCATTAGAGGAGCATGCAGCTAAAGTGTATACCCGTGCAATTTTTTTAAAGTTCGGTGAAGAGCTTTCTCTTAGTTTACGATTATCTAAGGAGAAACTTGGAAATGACATTGAGTGGGTTACCTACCATGTTTTTAATAAGAAGGACAACAAAGATTATGCAACAGTTGATATAAAATTGGAAAACAAAGAGGCTAGGTGTTCTTGCCTTTATTTTGAGTTCATGGGAATCTTATGTCGACATGTTCTTGCTATTTTTTTGATAGAAAATATCGAGCAGATCCCTGAACACTTCATCTTGCGCCGTTGGCGCAAGGAAGGAAATGACATACTAAGTATAGACAGCAACAGTTATACAACTGATGGAGATAGACTTCTTCGTAGCTTTCACCTACGCTCTAGATATTCCAGACTTGATGAGCTTGCATATGCATCGAGCGAAGCTTTTAGATTCATTTGTGATGGTATTGATTCTCTCTCTCTAGCTGCAGAAAAGTTTGTGACTTCTGAGGAGACTACTAGTCTTAGCGATTCTGACTTACAATACTTGGGTCATCATTCAGAAGAGTCTTCTATGAGGAACTTGAAGGATCCCTACATTTCTCAAACAAAAGGGCGAAAAAAGGACTCTCAATATACTTCACAGGGACGCAGGATTCGTAGCGGGATTGAAGAAGCATCAAAACATACTAATATATGTGGAATTTGTAAAAAACGAGGACACAATAAGCGCACATGCAAAGATATAAATCTATAAAGGTATGCTGCTTGATCTTATGCTCTATTGTTATTAATTAAATATAAAAAATGGTCCCGCCTAAGGAGGAATCTTTTGAAGATATGGTCAGTTTGGTCTTCCCTTAAAAATGAGTTTAAAAATTCATGGATGTTGTATATGCAAAATTGATGGATACTTCATGATGTTTCTTGTATATATTGAGTCTTTTTATTACAGATTTTTTATTTCTGAAATTGCCAAAGATGATACTGTCAGATAATTGATATATAGCTATATAATAGAATAATTTTTTGTAGGTAGAATTTACAATATTCCTATGTGTTTGCAGGAAGATTTAACTTTGAGTTTGTTGGATAAGTGCAAGAAATCACTTTATGTCATCAAGGGGATTATGGAAAGCACAACAGATGATTAAGTGACACTTTATGTCATCAAGAGGCTTTATGGAAATCACTTTATGTCATCAAGGGGATTATGGAAAGCACAAACCGAATGTCAGAATGATGGAATTAAAAAAATAGTTATGCAGATTTGATTTTAGATAAAAAGAGATGCAACTGTCATTGATGGTGAATCTAATGATGCAAAAATGAAGTTTTAGTTCTAAATTTTGATGTTTATCTTATATTCATTTTTGGATCTATGAGTGTGCAATAAGCATATCTCTAGGCTTCTTTTGTTGTCCCTTGCCTTTTCTCCAAACAACAGAAACACATTCGGTTTTTCATTTGTGTGGTTTTAGTTATTTTAGTTTTGAAAGTAAGTGGCCTTTTAACAGGTTTTTTTTGTGTGGAAGAGAGGGTTCTTGCATGCTCTTGCTTTAAAATAGTCTGATAAAAAAAAATCTGCAATAGTTACAACTATCATATTGATTTAGAGGGATGACTTCTTAATGTTCGATACAGATAGAACTTGAAAACTGGTTGCATGCCTTCATAATTGAACGAGATATTGTTCAACTGGGTTATGGGAAACGAAATTTAGGTATTATAACTTCAGTGTAGGTTATCAATTTGTTGTTATTTTTAATTTCTTTCACAAGCTATTCAAACCAGTTTTTTGGGCAGATGTAAATAGATCTATTTGTATAAAGTCAAACAAATGTATGATACTATTATGTGTTGCCACTTAGTACATCAATGACATTGCCCATTCAATGATAGGACATTTAGAGACTAAAAAAAATCAAAATAGATAGAAATAGACAGAAATTTAGTGGTCCTAGAGGGTTTAAATGGCGTGACATATGTTTAAAGGGTCTTTTTGTTCTAGGAGCTGAAAGCCTTTTCCTTTTGCTTCTAGCCTTCCTAGGAACAGCAAAATTTTGCAAATGAGACTCAGATTTCCGGGTTCTCTGCAATGTGCCTGAAGCTTTGTATCTTGTGCTTGTGCTTGTAGTCTTAACACCATTACGTAGCAACACACAACTTGGGGGGCTGGCAAAAAGTCTTCAACAAATATTGAAAGCCATTCCAAGTCTTAATACCATCAGCTGTTTCTTCTGGTTCATTATGAAGGCACCTGATGAGCCATTCATTCAATTTTTTGACATAAATTTTTAGTCTTAACCCAATTGTTGAACTGACTGCACCAATTCAGAAGCTCCTTTTGAAGTTCTAAGATAGCCTTCAAACCTTCATCTCTTTGCAAACCAGTGTTAATCTTAACAGACTGAGTTTTACTCTCCATGATAGCTTGGAACTGTTTTTGGTGGCATATGAGCATGAATTTCCACATTCTTATTAACCTGCTGACAAATAGGCAATTCGTCAAATCAATAGCTCCGTAACTTCTAACTTAAAAAAAAAACAAAATATTTTTCCATTCCAAAACCAAGAAGTATAATACTAATAATGACATGTAAACTAGTCTTCAACCACTTCCCATGTGATGAGAGATAATCACTGAAGCCTATTTCTCATCCATTTAGTCCCTCAAAGATATAAATTGGCTTCGTGTCATCCCTGTATCCATCTTAGACAAACCTCCTCAATGGAATGTCTGAGTTGACACATTAAGTACATATGTGAATAATTTTAGCATATGCATATTGGAGGAATGGAGGCAAATTACAAACAAAGGAATGATCTCCTAGCACGTCAAAATTTATAATGTGTCATATTTTAGCATGATCCCATCGTTCAGAACTTGCATACAGATTAGATAATAAAGCAAGAGTACCAATGCCATTATTTGCAAAACAAGTAATTGAAGGGACTCAGTTGGGCATTTTAGTGCATCTTTATCAGAAAACTGAAGAGAAATTACCCAACATTTTGCATTTAGATTGATAAGAAAATGGCATCCACATCAAGTGAAACTCTACATTTTATCTACATCTCCCTTAAAATCAAGAGCTTACCCAACTGCTTTGACGGGACCGACGACATCTCAGCCGCCGCCGGAGACTGCAGAGAAGACGGCGGCTCCAATTTCATTTGGAAGTAGCGGGGGTCGCCGCCGGACATTAACTTCTCCGTCGCCATGGGAACTTGAATTGTCGGCGATGGAAAACGCTGCGAGGGAATTGAATGCGACGAAGAGGAGGAGCTGCAACGACGTGGTTGGTCGTTTTGGATCCAAATCCAAATTCAGAAAGAGAAAGCTGGTTTTAGTCAGAATAGAAAAAGATGTGAGGGTCTTCTGTTACGGTGAGAAAGGGAATTTTGAGAAAGAGACGAGAGTGTGACCTAGAGAAAGAGAAAGGAGGTGAGTGATTGAGGGAAAAATTAGGATTATAAGGGATAAATATGAGCCATTAGATTAAAAGTTAATCTAATGGTTATAATTCAGTAGTAAAGGTAGTAAGATTAACAGGTAGTAAATATAACCCCTCCCAAAATTAAAAGCTATTTTCAGAAACAGAAATCGTAAAGGATTGGGGTTTGATTTTCTCGTGTTAAATGAGAATTCAATTCTCATGTTGTAGAGATAAAAAAACATGTGGGACCTATGTGTTAGAAAAAATTATATGTAGGACCCATGTCAGCACAAAAATCGAAGAGTGTGTAAGAAAATTTGAATTCTCATGTTAAATGAGAATTATAAAACCCTACATAAATTGCTAGAACCTGGAAGAGTAGGTGCTCTAATTCTGCAAAAGATTTTGGGATAAGAGCCGGATAATTGTTACACATTTGATTAGGGATAATCTCATATAGTTGCGAACTTGCGGGCTCTTTTTTGTTCGAATCATTGTAATATAAAAAAAAAAAAAAAAAAAAAAAAAAAACTTAATTTGTCCGAAAGAAATAATTCGAAAAAAAACAAAGGAATGTGAGAAGGACCGTAATTTATTGATATGGTCCTAGCCCATTAACAAAATTTGGACAGGGAACAATTATTAACTTTTTGTTTTGTCTACTGTTTGGTAGTTGAAGGAAAACACAAATAATTTTGTGCCACATATTATTTGATACACATAAGTATTGAACAGATTAATACATAAATTTTACTGTAACACCTTTTATGTAGTGATTTGTTTATTTTGCATTTAAAAAGTATACATGATAAATTTCAAATTTAATTATTTCACACTTTATTTTTATTTATAATTTATTAACAATATTAATTAATTTTTATATTTAGCATATTATTATAAAAATATATATATTTGGGATGATGGTATAATATATTGTAATAGAGGATGTGGTTTATCTATTATGTGAGGTAAATAGATTTTAAAAATATAACATTTTTTATGAGGTTTTTTTTTTTTTTTTGGTAGACTAAAGACCAATAGGTCAGAAGAAAAACAACACAACAAACAGGTGTAAACTAATTCCACTTGGGGGGAATTAAATAAGCACATGTCTCTTAAGTCATAATTAAATTAAATATTTTTTTTTACTTATTTTTTTTTTCACTTAGTATTTCCATGACTATTCTAGTCATATATATGTGTTATTATTAAACTTTTCTAAAATAATTTTTTTTTTAATTTTCATCTCTCTCTTTAATTTCTCTCTCTTAAAGTCAGTCATGTTTTAACACTAATAATTGGGTATTGCGATGATGCTAGACAGTATAATTTTGATTATGTGTATTGTATATCGTGGGACAAAAGGTTTTCCAATAATTTAACATTTGGATGGGATAAATATTTTTAATATTGTTCAATATTTTACCCTTAATTTTATCATGTCCCATCATATACATATATATATATTTTTGGTAACATGTCCCATCATATTTTTAATATGACAAATAATTTTATCCTATTTAATACTTCATTTATAAACAAATCAAAGTGATCTTTTAATGTCACAGAAAAGAAAAATATTGCGGATGACCTTCCATTTGGCAGGACCAAAACTAGAAAATAGAGTGGGATAAATTGCATTTTAGCTGACTTTTGACTATGGAGCTTTGACAGGCGCATGCGGGTCCAACTTGCAAGCTCTGATTTTTGTGACATACTGAGTCTTTTTCTTTGTGCAGTGTAGTTTAAATTTTGAACAATCAACCTTTATGGTGTGTATTTTATTTATTTTTTTGTAATAATTATGTTGTGTATTTAGATTGTAGTATAATTAATTTTAAAATAAAATTGAACAATCTTTCTACAATAATGAGCCTCTTAAATGGAAGATCACTTACTATTGACATTTTCTTTCTTTCTTTCTTTTTTAAATTTTTTTACCTTAGTTAAAGAATATTCTCACCCTGTCCTTATGGTCAACTTTAAAATGGGGAGGGCTGCAATTTTCTTTGAGCTTGTTTTTTATTTTGTCATTACATGAAGTGTGGATGGAGTTTTTAAAATTTTCAGAGTTTTGAGAAGTGTTTTTTTTTTCTTAAAAAAAAATAGCTTTTAGAGAAGAAAAAAAGTCATCCAAATGGGCTCTTATTAGGATTTTTTTATTATTTTCAAAAGTTATTTTTTTAGAAAAATAGTCCTTCTCAATTCTCACTATAAAATAGTGTTTGGATGTCTAAAAAACAAAGACAAAATTAAAAATTAAAATTTTTAACTTCTAAAAAAAGCAGAAGTTAGTGGATGGAGTTTTTAAAATTTT